GTAAAATTTCTTCCAAAAAACCCCACAAATATACAGTGTCATATGTCAGCTATATCTCATATTTTAAAGGGTAAAAAAGATTTTTAAAGAATCAGGAATAGGAACCAAGATTGCCAGGACCAAAGTTGCCTGCTGGTCCTAGAGTTTGGTTGGGCCAAACTCTAGGAATCCCTGTGACTGGAGCGGAAAGGGCCTTCTTCCCAACCCCTGCTGCCCACCGTTGTGATACACATGGCTTCTCCATCTCGACCCTTCATGCCAACCTTGGCATGTCCCTGCAGTGAAACTGTCATCTTTATCAAGGAAACCAGCCCACTGTGGGTCAGAACTTCTCTCTCACTGATCCAGGTCACCAGGGGCCTTGCACATAGCACTCCATGGCTTGTGACTGATTTTGCTATCTCACATCCCATTTTACTCGCTACAGACCAGGAAGGAAGAGCTGAGTAGGAAGTTTGAGCTGGTCAGTTCAGTTGCTCAGTCGTGTCCGACTCTTTCCAACTCCATGGACTGCAGCACCAGGCTTCCCTGTCCATCACCAACTCCCGGAGCTTGCTTAAACTCATGACCATCAAGTCGGTGATACTGTCCAACCATCCCATCCTCTGCCGTCCCCTTCTCCTCCCGCCTTCAATCTTTCCCAGCATCAGGGTCTTTTCCAGTGAGTCAGTTCTTTGCATCATATGGCCAAAGTATTGGAATTTCAGCTTCAGCATCAGTCCTTCCAATGAATATTCAGGACTGATTTCCTTTAGGATGGACTGGTTNAATGACTCAAGAAATGTGGAGGCTTGGGAGCACTTGTTCAAGCTGTTAGAATGACCATAGCAAAGGGTTTCCCCATCTGCTTAGCCTCACCTCGGCCAAACCATCGGGCCCATCCCATCCCCTCCTGGATTAAGAGGGATCCCAGAAAGTGCCAGAGGAGCCAACTCTACTTGACAGCTCATTAACCAGCCTCATCTAGCTGTCTCTTTCCAGAGTGTGAAATAATTTATCTTCTTTTCAGGCTAATTATTATTTCTCTTTAGGATCCCTTGTACTGCTATTAAATAACTCCATACTCCTCTCTCTCTCTCTCTCTCTCTCTCTTATTTTTTTTTTGATGATTCAACAGATGTTGGCAATTTGATCTCTGGTTCCTCTGCTTTTTCTAAATCCAGCTTGAACATCTGGAAGTTCATGGTTCATGTACTGCTGACGCCTGGCTTGAGAATTTTGAGCATTACTTAGCTAGCGTATGAGATGAGTGCAATTGTGCAGTAGTTTGAGCATTCTTTGATGTTGCCTTTCTTTGGGATTGGAATGAAAACAGATCTTTTCCAGTCCTGTGGCCACTGCTGAGTTTTCCAAATTTGCTGGCGTGCTGAGTGCAGCACTTTCACAGCATCATCTTTTAGGATTTGAAATAGCTCAGCTGGAATTCCATCACCTACACCAGCTTTGTTTGTAGTGATGCTTCCTAAGGCCCTCTTGACATTGCATTCCAGGATATCTGGCTCTAGGTGAGTGGTCACACCATTGTGGTTATGTGGGTCATGAAGATTTTTTTTGTATAGTTCTTCTGTGTATTCTTCCCACCCTTTCTTAATATCTTCTGCTTCTGTTAGGTCCATCTGTCCTTTACTGAGCCCATCTTTGCATGAAATGTTCCCTTGGTATCTCTAATTTTCTTGAAGAGATCTCTAGTTTTTCCCATTCTATTGTTTTCCTCTATTTGTTTGCATTGATCACTGAGGAAGGCTTTCTTATCTCTCCTTGCTATTCTTTGGAACTCTGCATTCAAATGGGTATATCTTTCCTTTTCTCCTTTACCTTTAGTTTCTCTACTTTTCTCAGCTATTTGTAAGGCCTCCTCAGACAACCATTTTGCTTTTTTGCATTTGTTTTTCTTGGGGATGATCTTAATCACTGTACAGTGTCATGAACCTCTGACCATAGTTCTTCAGGCATTCTGTCTATCAGATCTAATCCCTTGAATCTATTTGTCACTTCCACTGTGTAATCGTAAGGTAGAGAGGTAGAGAGCTGGTAGAGAGGTGGAAAGAATGTATGAGAGGTGAAGCCATGTTTGATCCCAAGTTAAGTGCTACAGAACTGCTTGATTAACTAAAGAAATAGAAAGGATGAAATATTGAAGTGTACAGTGGAAAGTTTAAAAGCCTGAGTGGTGCGAGGAAAAGAAATCTACTTAATGAAATCTAAGACTGAACTGTAGCTGGTGTGTATCTGGCCAGTCTCAAAACTTTATGATCAGAAAAAAAAACAAAAAAACCCTTTATAACAGGTCCTGAGTCCAGCAACATTTCACCACCCCAGGCTTGGGGAAGTCTCTTCTCCTTAAATATAAGGAGGGAGTTGGACAGATGGTCTCTGGGGGCCCATTCAGCTGCCAGTCTGGAAAGTGAGTCTCTTCTCAGTGGCTGAGATACACCTCAGAGTCTTCAGGAACAAAGAAGTTAGCAGATGACCTGGGGGCCGATTTCAGAACACAAAAATGTATACTTTTAGCAATGAACTGAACTGAAATACTGTGTGCTGTGGTTCATGAAAGTGATGGAATTGTGGTCCTAAAGACAATTTAAGGGTATATAGAAATGCTTATTCTGTGTTAAGAGAGAAAAGCAATTTGCATAATTTAATTTGTCTGTGTGTTTCAGAGAATTAAATTATAAGGGCTCTCTTTCAGGGATAGAATTATGAGCAGTCTTCAGTTTGGTTTCTTGAAAAGTTTCTATACAAAAATGAACAAATTTTGCTCCTGAAACAGGGAAAAGACTACAAAAATGTTATTTTCACTTTTTTTCGCAAGGGGTGGAGAAAGACCTCAGTTACAAAGATTTGGATTAATCGTACTCCTTAGGGACATTCTCATTGGTTTAGAAAGGAACTTGAGAAAGAAATCCTGGCTACTACTTCCACTAGACGGCGCTCTTCTGAAATTTTAGGTTGCTGAAGATTTTGGAAGGGAGGCTTCAAGGTTTCATTTCAAACCCAGTTGGAGGACTCCAGCTTCTTTATTTGTTTGCTTGTCTTTAAATACATTTTTTAATTTGGGAATAATTTTAGATTTACAGAAAAGTTAAAAAGGTAGAGCAGAGAGTTCTCGTTTACCTTCACTCAATTCCCCCTAAGATTAACACATTGCACCACCATGCTGCATGTGTCAGAACTGAGAAATGAACATTACTCCGGCAGTACATTACTGTTAACTAAAGTACAGACTGTAGTTGAATTACACCAGCTTCTCCATTAAGATTCTTATTCTGTTCCAGAATATAATCCAGTATATCACACTGAATTTAGTAAATTTTTTAGAACAAACAACAAAACTCACTGTGGTAATCACACATCACCAATTATATTTTACATAAACATCTGTATTTTCTTAGAAAGACAAAGGTTACCATTCTTTCTTTCACCTCTTGTTTTATTGCCATTACGTTTGCAGAAGTTATGTAATTTTTTCAATCCCTATGTTGTCATCAACTTTTCCGTCTTTTGCAGTGTATGGGGAACCATCATTTTTAGTAATTTTGTATCTTCTCCAATTAATCTTTTGTTTTTCAGTTTATGTTCCCTCCATCAGGATGTCATTAAAAAAGAATGCTGTGGAATTATAACAATTTTGTTAGGTATAATAATGGCATTGTGCTTAGGATTTTTTTAAAGTCCTGATCTATAAGATACATACTGAAGTATTTACAGATGACATTATTTACTTTAAAATACTTCAGCAAATGAAAACTTGGGGGAGCTAGAACAAATGAAGGAGGATGTGTCCATGGGTGTTACTGTTTTACTTTTGTGTATGATTGAAAATCTTATAATTAAAAAGTTGTTCAAAAGAAAAAGGTGTGGTACAGCTGAAGTCAGTGGTGACTCAAGTTTTTGAAGTACATTCTGTCCTCCTGCAAAAAGGGGGAAGGACTTCATGGGGCGGGGGCGGGGATGGGAAGGTGGGGGAAGAGGGAGGAACTGGGGAGAAGACTGTCAGGCTTCATTTCTGCCTCGCCCACCCCCCCATATGCTGCCCTCTCTCCTGCTGGGGCCACCACATCCTGCCCAGTGAGGGGTAGGGAGCCTGTGTGGGGGCACTGACCAAGAACCCAGCCTTGGTGCCCCTTCTTTGCCCTCCTTAGAGTCAAGGTGGGGTCTCTGCCCTTTGCCCTGGGCCTTCCAGGTACCCTGGGTGTGAGCTTGGGGCAGAGCTCCACCAGCACAGTCTGGGACACCTCTCTGCCTGCTCCACCCCTTCCTCCAGCCCTGGCCCGGAGTGGAACTCCACCCCACCTCCTCGCCCCCCCCAACACACACATATATGGCAGAGCCGCATCTCTGGGCTAGCAGTTATCAGCAGACAAATAGAGGGGTTCAATAAAGTTTTTATAAACTTAATTCAGATAACACAGCCACACACACACACACACACACACACACACACACGTCCCGGGCACTGCAGGAGGTGCCAGAGGAATGAGAGCAGATGGCAATGTTACCCTTTAAGAACCTGAAGCAGATATATTTGAGGCTTGGGGTGGAACCAACTGTACAGTAAAGGCTGATTAAAAATGAATCTTGGGTGGAAGCAAATACCCCGTAGTTTCAAGGTGAAGATTTTATTTGCATCTCTCTTTCTTAGTTTTATGGTTTCGAGTTGATTCATCTCAGCCATGTGGTTAATCAATGGAATTTTCATTGGTATGTCTAATAATAATAAGTCCTAATAATAGTAATTAAAAAATCTGTATAGATGATAATCTTTTTCAAGCCCTTCATAATTATCACAATTATCCTAGCGACCATTTAACTAAATTGGAGCCACTTGTAGCTGCTGCCTTCTTGCTTGCTGAAGTCAGCTGCTCCTTTGCCTCCAGCCCAGTGGAGGGCCAGGCTCCTGGCTCACGGAGCTGATGGGCTGGCGCTGATCTCTGCTCTGCTCAGGGATGGTGGCAAACTCTATTCAACACTTTTTTTCTTTATCTCTTTTTATTCTGCAGCAGAAGTATTGGGAAGCCCTAATCTCGGAGCAGGTATGGACAATTGTGCTCTCTCTTTATTCCAGAAGGGACTTCCTGTGGCTTGATTTCAGTTCCTGTTTTTGTGAGCCCCTTTTAGATGGCTGGGCCCATGCCAAATTCCTCTAGGGGAAAAAAAAATCTGAAAATAAGAGGAGAGTCTGAAAGTTGAGGTTCTTTCCAGGCTCTTTCAGTTCAGAGTTCTTTCTGCTTTGTCTGAACCATCTAGTGGGGACTCAGAGAAGATGCATGACCCAAGGAAGAAATGTGCTTGGAACAAAAGTCTCTGAACAGGAGGAAGCCCGGCAGCTCCCTAACGGTAATGGTGCTGGGAGTGACTGCGAGAGCAGAGATGAACATTCCTGCCGGTTGTCACTTGGAGACCTTGGGCAGCTGGCTCCTGTCTCCCTTCCATCCTCGCCTCCAAGCGACAAATGAGCACATGATTCATGACAGCCACCTGTGCCTGTCACCTCCCAGGATGTTTTTTGTTTTTATGATAAGAGAGTAGATTATCTTTTGCTCAATTCTCTGAATGCCTGGATTCCAGCGATGTTTTTTTTATTACTTAAAAAGACATTTAAAAACACATTATTCTGGGAATTCAGAAGGAAGAGATTTAAAATGTTTTTGAAGGTTTCAACCCAGTTTAAAGAGTGCACCTCATCAGAGTTTCTGTTTCCCGGCAGCTGAACTGGTCAGGAGTAGCAAGGATAACTCTTAAGAATTAAGACATTTTAGGAGCTGGAGCAGTGGTTCTGATACATCAGGGTGGCTAAGAATCACCCTAGGAGCTTGTTCAAATGCCAAGTCTTAGATCCCAAACTACAGATGGGGTCAAGGGAGCCTTTTTGATAAGCACCCTGGGCCCTCCTGGTGAGGCTGGTCCAAAACCAGACCTAGCACGTGGGTCTCCGCTTGAAAATAGAATTCACCCAGGAGCACACCGTCCATTCTCAGAGAACGGACCAGGCCCCTGCTTCCGCTGCTTGGCAACTGGGTCTTGGAGGCCGAGGGGCCAGGGAGCTCTTTTACTTGGCATCTCTGATAACATCTGGAAGGGATTTGCTTAGAGGTATGCCCCCAAGTCTGCAACCACAGGTAGATGAGAAACCGGCAGGGCCTGACACGGCCCCAGACACCAACAGATCAGCTCGGGCCCTCACCAGCAAGGTGACTGGGAGGTGAGGTGGTCATTTTAACGCGATGCTGTTTCTCCTGACCAAGTAGTAGAATCAATTCAGTTATTATCAATAAATCACGAATTAAACTGGACTCTTCCTATTCAGAACTACAGTTTGTGTTTTATAACTGGCAGGCTGCAGGCATTGTCTGTCAAGTGACTCAGGGAGCCTTGAGGACCTTGTCCTGACCTTCTAAGGACTGGATTGTTTGATTCATGTTTGAGCAGCTGGAGGAGCATTTTTCTTGAGTGCACATGGATGCCTGGCTCTATTTTCTTGCCCAAATAGATTGTCTGGCCTGGGCTGACACATCCTATGTGGCCTTTGCTTGTTGTTTCCTGGGTCTTTTGATACCTTCAAATGCAACCTTGTGACTCAGACTCACCAGTCATAGAAACTCAGAAATGAGAGCTCATATTATCTAGTTCCTGATTCAGACTCCCAGTGCACACATGGAGAAATTAAGACCCACAGAAGTGAATTGAGCCTGACCCCCACATACCTCTGTGGCTGGAATCACTAAGGATTCCCTTGCTCTTGGCCCTTATACAGAGCTTTCTCTCTTATCCATCCTATTAGAACAATAGGAAGACTTTGCATACAGCTTTATCAGTACTTGTGTGCTCACCTATTTTTTTTTAACCTTTTACTCCTACTCCTGCAAATTTCGGTTTCCCATACTTGTCTGAGTCAGAGTGATGAAATATTCACTGGCAGTGACCACCACTCTGGATTAGGTTTTAAGTGTTTGTTTTTGACGAGTTGGCTGACCTCAAGTTCAGAAGAAGCACCATATGGGGTGCGGGGGGCAAGGGTAGACTAGTGCCCTACTCGTAAGGGGCTCTGTTATCTACCTGAGGACAAAGTAGACACTCAGGCAAAGGGCAGGACTTCCCATGATCAGCCGCAAACCAGTGATACAAGCAGTACAGAGAAGAGGGTAAGAGCTCAGTGGGTGTCAGGGTAGGCTTCTTGGAAGAGAAGGAACTTACCTGGGCCATAAAGAATAGGTTGAGTTTTCCTGGTCTTTTCTAGGAATAAGTCTGGCATAGAGATGGAAATTCTCAGGATAAAGGGAACATGCCTCAGGCTCACTAGAGAAGGACTTGGTGAAGACAGGGGGAACAGAGAATGGGAGGGGAAGTAGGACTGATCTATTCATGGTAGCTGTCTGTTAATTCCTTGATTTAAAGTTACACTTGCTCTGTTAGGTCCTAGAATCACAGGCCTGGTTAACCTGTTCTTATCTGTTTATTCTTATTTGTGCCTGGGCCTTGAGAACCAGGACTGGAGCTGTCAGGGGAACCGTAAGAGATAGGACGGGTCTAGTCCACCAAGGTACCTCTTGTGTCTTCTTTCCACAGTGGGATCCTGAGGATGTAAACCTTGGAGGGAACAAAGACAGCACGAGACACGCAGATCACAGGCACACAGGTGGTGAAGCCAGCGGACTTGCCCTCTGATGAGTAACACTTTCTGGAGCCAACTCAGCAGCCCAGAGACCAAGGTCAAGCATTTGTCAGGAACTGAGCAGGGATCAACCGGCAGGGACAGCCGTGGTAGGAATTAAGCTTCTGCCAAGGCTGCCCATGAAAGTGAGGAACCAGGAGCTGTCATGGAGCTTGGTTGGTCTGCACTACGGCTCAGGATGGAACTAAGACTTTGGGCCCACTGGACAGACTTGAATATGCCCGAAGTTTGTTCTAAGGATCTGCAGTTTGTCACAAACCACTCGTGCTTTGACATATAATCTAAAGGACTTTGGGCCCTCTTTTCCTTTTCCCTTTGGAGTCAACCATACTCTGAATATCTGCTGTGAATGAGTTCATCTAACAAGCAGCTAATATGTTTGGATCTCAGTAAAGCCCCATTCTGCAAGACCTGGCTAAGCCTAGCAAGCAGTGGGCCCACATTCTGGGTGTCTAGGACACAATGACAAGTTCTGATGGGACCTGGCTACTGCCCTCCAGTAACCCACTAGAGTTTCCTGACGAAAGTTGAGAGAGGACTGTTTGATCAACCAAGTGTTTACAAGATCCCTGGTATTGCAAAGGCAAGCAAAGCGAATTGCTCTAGATACGAGAACTTGCTCCAATCTGGCAAAGTGTATGCTGGAGCAGGGTCTCAGGTGAATGGGACTGTCTGCCTTAGAAGGTAGCTGAAAGCATGCACAGGGTAAGAGGCATGGCCAGAAGTGTTAAATTCAAGCACCAAAATCTTCTTGCAGGTTTATTTTGGATCTAAGGTGGGAGGAACACTGGAATGAATAAATCCTGATTGAGAGAACTACAGTATTTCACCATGGAGCTCAGGGGTACATCTGAATCCCAGAACAGCCTTCAAAGTCGGCCACGAGGGGATCTGGGAGAAATGCCAAGAAACACAGCTCTGCTCTTGGCTGGCCCCTGGCAGCCTGTGTGATTCAGCAGCAGCTGCCCAGTTGCTCCGAAGGGGTAGAGCAAGTCCCACCAGCATGAAAGAGGGGGTGCCTAAGGGAAGCAGTTTGGTTCCACAGGTCTCTGCATAGATTCTAATCAATTCCCTGGGTGACCTGTGAACTAGAAGTGAACCTAAAGCTACCCTATTTATCCAGTTGCTTTGGACCCTGGTTGTCTTTTTTTTTTTTTCTTTCTTCCTGGTTGTCTTGTAATGGAGTTTGCTAAAGTTGGTTTTGCTTTGTGATCTTAATCACTGAAGCTGTACTTTGATGGAAGATGAAACTTTGAGTTGGGGGCAGGGGTAGGGAGTTGGGAGAACATTCCAGAAGATGAAACCACACAGAGAATTGGAAGCAGGGAAGGGGGGAATCTAGCCAAGGAAAGAAGACTCTGATGTAGCCAGAATGGGAGTAGAGAGAGGGTGAAGAGGCTGGAGAGGAACTGGGAGTTGGCACTTAATTCTATAGCTGACTGGTAGCTACTGGAAGATAGAGTAGGAAGCTGACTGGCATGCCTCAGATCAGCCACAGCTGATTGGTCAGTTTTACATCCCTACAGCCACAACTTTTCAGGAAGCAGAAAGGTACAGTCATGGATACAGTATGAACTTGGGGAGTGTGTTTAATCTGATTGATGACAGCAGGGAAGAAAAAGTTTTTATCTTTGGAAAGGTAAAAGGCATGGGAATAGGATGACATCCTTGGAGTTTGCCTTTAGCAAGTCCCCTCCCCCCAAGGGGAGACTGGCTTATGCTCCCAGAAATTGGTCGGATCCTGATGGGAATGTCCATTCATTCAAGAACATCAAGTGATCTTGCCAGCTTTGACCAGCACAAATTGCTTGAGCTCTAGATGTTGACCATCTCTTTAGATCCCATTGTCCCAGCCTCTTCCTTCACAAACCATTTCTTATTATCATTGTCGGAGCTTGTCTCAAAACAGACTCCCAAGTCTCTTCATCCAGAGTGAACCTTTAAACTGAGAATTTTGGAAGCAAAGTTTGGCCTCATTGTTTAATGAGAACCTGCCTGTTATTCGAAGTTCTGTAACTCTGGAGCCTTTGCGAAGAAGTGCCAGCCAAAATGCCTTCCTCCTAGGAAGAGGATTCTTGCCCTGGGCCTCTGTTGCACCTTCATCCCTAACTGTCAGTCAGACCAGGATGATAATGGGAGTTAATTGCCCTGAAGACTCACAGAGCAATGCAAAGAGGTTACCTACACTAGGGAGAAGCTGGGAACCAATTGTGTTACCCTCCTCTCCCACCCATTCATCTGAACACAAGAGATGGTATACTAGTAGTTGTGCTGCCTATTATCTGCATGACTTGGAGCTTGTTACTTAAACTTGGTGAACTCTTGGGGTAGACTGAGAATAATAGATATCTAGAAAGCATGTTGTGAAGAGTAAGTAATAGGTATGGAATGCATAACACTACTAACACTCATGACTCAAAGTAGACATTGAAGAAGGATTCGTTTCCTTCTTCCCTATAATTCCTGGCCACATATGTCTGAAAAGCCAGTTGGTAACCAAAGAATCACACTGTCAGATGGAAGAAACTTCAGAAGAGTGAAGAGCCTGACAACAACCCCAATAAGTGATTGAGTGGTTATCCGGCCCCTGCTTAAGCTACTCAAAAAAAAAAACAACAACAAAATTTCACCCATTTTAATCTCCCCAAAAAAGAAATCTTTCTTTGGGATTTAGGGGGAACTGTATCAGTAAAATTTTCTTAAAATCTGTCTAGATCCTGAAGAACCAATCCCCTTATCTCCCCCAGTACTTCAGTATGATGAAGAGATGTATGAACAATCTCCTGATGCCACACTCACATGTGATTGTTACAATGGGGTATGAGCTCCCCCAGAGCCAGGAGAGGCAAGAAGCATGGCTGGGCTCCAGTTCCTAGGTCTGCTTCAGTGAGATCCTTGTCAAGTCATTTCCTTTTCTGGTCACAATTTCCTCATCTGTAAAATGAAAGGGCAAATTTCTGTCCTTTTTTCCCTTTTATGAATATGCCAGTGAATTCTTTCCTACAGAAGACTGACATGTTCATAAACTCTTAACAAGAGAAATTTTAGATACACCTTAAAAATAGGTTTCATTATATCATAGGTACTTCTCTCTGTTTGGATTTTACTATCCGTTTAAGATAAAATCCCCCTTTTATAAAGAGTCCAAGTTTTGCTGTAACAAGAGATCACAGTATATGACATTAAAAATGTCTGCAGTTTCCTTCCAGTACTGAAAAGTCTTAAATATGATATATGAATATTTTCCACAGTGACAGAAAAAGAACTCATCAATCATTAAGAAAAAGAAAGGCTTTTCTTATGTGACTGCAGCAGAGCTAAGTCCCTACCCTGCGTCAAGGGCGCTCGCCCCCTTCTCACCCTCCACACTGCCTTAGTGGGGCAGTGAGTGGCTTCCACAAGTTGTGACCGGGAGGGAGGCCTCTAGTGGCACCATGAGAAGTGAATCCCAGCTCCTACTTGCTACCTTTCCCTCTGGGATTCTGCCAGACCCCAGCAGCCTGAGATCCATTCAAACCACCGCCCGCCAACTTCCGGGAAGAGAGGGCCTGTGCGCCTCGGCGCGTGCGCACTGTGCAGCCACCGCTTCACGCGAGTCGCGAATCCTGCACGTGCTGGCCCCGCAGTCCCCGCTGTGTGCGGCTTCCCACCTCACCGCCACCGCGCCCGGGCCTTGGGGGAACTGCAGAGGACGGCTCCTGGGGTACATTTCACACCCATTGTTTTGTAAGGGGATTATCGCGAGATTACCCTTCTCAAAGTATTTGAGATCGTTCAGCATCCTTTAGGGTGTGCTGCAGAGCAGATTGTTTTTAAATATATTTAAGATACGGTGCTTTTTTTTTTTTAAATAGTACAGGTATACGGCTTTTAAAAAAAGAATCAGATTGTAACAAAAAGCTTGTAAAGGAAAACATCGTGCCCTGCTCCTCCCTTCTGCCCGCAATGGTCCACCCACCCACTCTTTTTTTTTTTTTTTTTTTTAAGACTCCTTTGTTCTAGCAGTTTTCTCCTTTGGGTTTGATTTCAAACGTGCTTTCCAGCCGTAAGCTTCCAAGATTATACTGTTTTTGTTTTGTTTTTCTTGGCTAGAATATCTCCAACTTCCATTAAGTACAAGCTAATGAGACACCACGGGGTGTTGAGAACTGTTTGTCAAAACTGTCTTTGCATCCTGCTTGTACTGTGGAATCCTTCGTGCAGGGCCCTTTCCTCTTGCTGTTTTTCTTGATCTAGCCTCCAGCTTCTAAGTCCTGCCTGCAACAGGTCGCATCTGCTCTCAGAGCAGCCTAGCTAGTCCCGCCTCGGCTCTGGACTTAACCTTGACCTTCATCCTTTTATCTCTCCTGCAGGTGTCCTAGTACTTGGAGCATCTCCAATGCAAGTCTCAGATTTTCTAAACCCACAACCGGAGAAAGGGCTTTCCTGCACTGCAGCTGCCACTGTCTTTCCCAAGGACAGCCTGATCTCGTGTGAGAAGTGCTATCCCATAGGCCTTCTTTCTGATCAGCAAGTGCACTATGGAATATGTATGTCCTAAAGCTCTGGTGTGTGTGATATCTGTTCAAATAATAGACTCTTAGGCTCCAGCCCAGTGATTTCCTAGATCTGGGCAGGGCCTGGGAATCTTTGGGGGTTTGTTTTTTGTTCATTTGTTTTTGTTTGTTTTTTGCATCACTGAGTTATGCAGGATCTTAGTTCCACCAGACATGGAGCCCCCTGCTTGGAAGTGCAGAGTCTTAACCACTGGACCACCAGGGAAGTCCCAGGGTCTGGGAATCTTTAACAAGCTCCTCAAGTGATCCTTTGAGAACATTGCCCTAAGGAAATTACTTTTAAAGCCTTTCTGTTTGTGTGAGATGTTTTCATAAATGTATTTAGAACAGGCACAAAAGTGATAAAGCCTCAAAACCCCACTTGTTTGGAAAGATTAAACATTATACTTTCATGAACAAATGCTATTTGGGTATTAGACCTAGAAGACCACAGAGGAACAGATCTGAATTACCTTGAAATCACCTAGTTCAGTGCCTGAGTGGCTCGCTCATTCTCACAACTTGAATTCCCTGTTCTAACATGAAAAGAAAAATCTGCAGAAGACAATGTCAGGCAACAAAAGGAGAATCCAAGAGAGTGTGCCAATATTAGCAGTTATTTTTAAAACATTGTTTACTGACAATATCAAAAGAGTCTTTTTATGAGACTTTCTATAGTAAGGGGATTATGTGGATTCTTGTAGTAGTGGTTTCTTTACTGTAGAAGCAGTTGAATACATTCCCCAGTTTAAAAATATTTCCCCCTAAATTCTCTTCCCTTTCAAGTTTGCAGCATAAACCTTTGGTTCCAAGAGAAATCCCTTGGCTCAAGCAGCTGCTGTAGTTCCAGCTCGTTGCTGATCGTCACATCCCTCAAGACCAAAGAACAATAAAGGGAGACCAGATAGCAATGATTCTCAAACCAGGGAAAACAGACAGGAGAGAGCCCCTGAGAAAATATGAAAGCCTAGTTGTTGTTTAAAAGCAAGGTGGGAAGACTAAAAGGACAGATTTTTTTTTTTTTTTTTTTTTTGAGAGTTCTGTAGTTTGAGCCCCCTGGTGGCTCAGATGATAAAGAATCCACCTACGATGCAGGAGATGTGGGTTCGATCCCTGGGTCAGGAAGATCCCCTGGAGAAGAGAATGGCAACCCACTCCGGTATTCTTGCCTGGAGAATCCCATGGACGGAGGAGCCTGGTGGGCCACAGTATATGGGGTTGCAAAGAGTCAGACACGACTGAGCGACTAACACTTTCACTTTCTTTAGTATGAATAAGAAAAGAGGCATATGAAAATATATATATATTAATATATAAGTAACTGTCATGGATATATTTGTAAATGTTATGCTTTTTAATACTTTTTGGTGCTTCATTAACGTTTAGAAAATTTTTTATTGGAGTATAGTTGATTTACAAAGTTGTGTTAGTTTCAGTTGTACAATAAAGTAAATCAGATTTACTTTCAGATTCCTTTTCAGATTCTTTCCCCATAGATTGTTACAGAATATTATAAACTTTTAAAATTAGTATTGTTTATCATATAATTATACAAAATAAACTGAAGAAAGTTATAAATACCTATATGCTCCCCCAAATAACATTCATGTAAATATTAGAAGAGGAAGTAAATATTAGAAGAGGAAGCTTATAAGTAACTATGTATTGTGCATGTATTTTCATCTTGCTCTCTGTGTGGATGTAGAAATTATATTTTCATTATACTTTTCAGTATTTTATACCTTTTTCATAATGAATATTTTTGGGGGGTTAAAAACAGTGATCCATCATAATAATATTTGACAGGCAAGGACCTCAATAATTGCTAAAAACTCATGAGAAGATATTCATAGGGTTACAAAGTACCTCTTGTGTATGAAAATTCAGTTAACAATCAACCTAAGAAGAAAATAAGGGAATTTTATTTGAACCAAACTGAAGATTATAAGCCAGGAAACAGACTCTCAGAAAGCTCTGAGAGCTGTTCCTTCTGTTAGAAGTCATTCTTAAGACAAAGGACAGTGAATACATCAAAATGACATACTAATGTTTTACATAAAGTTCACCAAGTTTACATAGTCCAGGTAAACTTGTGCAAAGTGGGCTTAAAGTTAGCATGACCCACTACAGAATTGGGGGAAAGTGCAGATCTTCAAAGAATTTACATAACTTGTGTTGGAAACAAGGGTAAAAGTGAACTTTAGAGTTAAGAGGCACTCCCATCATTGAGAAGTTCTGGTGTATGTGTATTGCAGATACTCACTGCACATTAAAGAGAGGGAAGTGTTGCAACTGGATGCAGAGAGAGGATTTTATGTTTAAGTTTTCTTGTCCTGTCTTAAAAGAGATTTTATTTCATCACACCCTGCTAATTACTTTATTAATTACAAATGGAAATAGATCCCTGTACAATGATGAAATCTGCATATTACTGTGGGGGTGATGTGAGGATATCACCTTAACCAGGATATGAAGTTCACATTACCAAGATGCAGGACATTGGAGCATGTGCTGCATATTAGCTAACATTATTATTTCATTTTCTTGAGAGTGATAATAGTACTATGGTTGTGTAGAAGAACCCCCTATTCTTCAGATAGATGTGCCAGCTATTTAGGAGAGAAGCATCATGATTGGCCACTTTGAAATGGTCAAACAAGAAAAAGTATGTATTGTTCAGTTATATATGAAAGGTAAAACAAACATGATGAGACGGGGTCAACTGATGAATCCAAGTGAATAGTATAAACATGTGCATCATATCATTCTTGCAACTTTTCTGTAGGTTGGGAGTTTTTCAGAGTAAAATTTGAGGGCGGAAGTACAGGAGTGAAGACTGTCACAGTCAGCTTCACCAAGAGGCGGCTCTCCATCACCCTTGCCTGTGGAGGACCCTGAAATTCTAGGGCTTTGTGAAAGAAACTACTGGATTACTAGAGACAGCGGTTCAAGCAGCTTCCCTGTTCAACTGGCTTCTGAGCTGGCTGATTGTGGGATGATATCAGGCCATAAAGGGTGAACAGATTCCAGTTTATCTGGAACTGAGAGAAAAATAGGCCCTGTATCTTAGACAGCCCTGATAAGGCACCTCCATGGATATGAGTAATTGTCAGACCCAGGGGATGAACCAGGGCTGAGAAAGCTGAACAATGGAAAGCTGGGAGCACGGTGACAAGGAAATTCTTCCCCTGAATTGCCTTTTCCTATTGAGATAAGATAGTATGCAATAAAGCGCCAGACTCAGAAGTGCTGCCACCAGTCCCAGTGGGAGTGGCTGGCGCTGAGCCTGAGCGGGAGCATGTGTGAGCCTGGTACTGTCAGCACCTGGGTGGTCCCTCAAGGGCTTGCTCTGGCCCAAGTCGGTGACCTCAGACCCAGAAGGCCTGGGGGCAAGTCCTGATACCACCACTCGCCAGCTCAGGGACTGATTCTCTTATTCTTGTTGCACACACAGACACAAAATTATTTCCTTTTCTCCCATCTGCCTTACTGATAGGTTGCAAAACCCGAAAACAAACCATGAAAGGGTTTTTCAACTCCCAAAGGCCATCAAACTGTCAGTCATTATCATGACTCCCTAAGCATGAAGCAATTTCTTTTGTAGCTTTCCCACCTCCAGGCCAAACTCGCCTGGATGTCTTTTAGACCCTGAGTACATTTTTTTAAATTTTATGTTTAATTAGAAGATGATTGCTTTACAGTGTTGTGCTGGATTCCGTGCTGTGAATGAGCCATATTCATATACCCCCTCCCTCCTGAGCCTCCCTCCCACCCTTGAGTACATTTTCATTATGAGGTTGTATGAGTAAAACCTTTCCAACTTCTGAGGAGGCAGGATGGAGATGCTTTGAGATGCTCTAACTTCTCCTGAACAGGCAGAGAGTGGCTGAGAATGTTGCTCCTTTGATATACCGTAACTGGGAAATAGATCCCCAGAGGCAAGCCGTGACTCATCCTCATTGTTCCGGCCGAGTCGCTGTCCCGGCTGAGCGAGCATGGGTGGCCCTCTGTCAGCGTGCCACACAGGAGAGCCCCCACTCAGTCCTGGATGTCAGCCTTGGCGTCTCAGGGGCAGTAGAGCAGAGTGGACAGAGTGGAAAGGGAGCCATGCCTTTGCTGATCTTCAGGAGGAGAGGATTGAGCTGGTGCAAGAAGAAGTTGCCTTTGGTTCTGTCCCAGCTGCAGTGGAGGCAAGGAGTTCCCTGGTACTAAAAGTTATCCCACACAGCTCCATCACCCCTCCTCTGAAGTGTTTTGGGGAAGGGGCATTACTGACTAGAGATGGATCGGATGATATTCCAGGGCTCTTTCAACTTTAAGAATCTAAGCTACTTTTGACTAGCAAGGAATTTGGATTATCCCATCCTCTGCTTATTGGTCATGTGACCTTGAACATATTAGTTAACTTTCTTTTCCTTTTTTTTTTTTTTGCATGTGGCATGCAGGATCTCAGTTCCCCAACCAGGGATTGAACTCTGGTCCCCTGCAGTGAAAGTGCAAAATCCTAACCACTGGACCTCCAGGGAAATCCCTGTTTTTTAGCTTCCTGATCCTTCATTTCCTCAGATATAAAATGAGGTTATTAACATCTACCCTACTTATCTCCTAGGGTTAGTAGAAGCATCCACACAAGTAAGTCATGCTTCTTGGTGAAGTCATAAAATTTTTCCTAGCTCTCTCGGTCCTCTGCCCACAGTTCCTGGGTGGCCAGGAGATAGCCTAGACTGGCATATTCCATGGGTCCAAACAGAGGTCACAAATGCTCAAGGGGTCAGCACTAAATACAATTTTGCTGGCCATCCTCCATCCTTGCTCAGCACTTGGCCCTTTCTGGCTTCCCCATCCCTCTGGCTTCCCCATCCCTTTGTCTTCCTCCTTTCTCTTCTGCTCAGTCAGCTAGCACTTCTGAGAGTGCACTATGTCTCAGACACCCTGCTGGGCCAGGGAGCAGGTGAAAATTACCCAGTCCTGCCAGCGTGTCTTGCCTGGTGTGGGGAGAACACAGAAGGAGTGTTGTGCTGGGTCTCCCAGGGTGCAAGCCTTTGTGGGAGCAAGGCCGGGAGGGCCAGCTGGACAGGAGAAGCGTTCACCAAGAATAAGACATTTGAGACTGTCTTTCAACAGACTGGTTTCCAAGTACAGAAGGACAGCAGAGCACGTGGTTGTGAGTGCTGGGCCTCCTGGGCTTGGCTTCTCTGCCCCCATCTTTAGCCAGCTCCTTCCCTCTAGTCAGCTCCCACCCGCAGCTTCCTTCTAAGCAAGAGGCTTTGGAAACTAGAAACAGTTCCTGAAAACACTGCTGCTGGGTCATTGAGGATGTAAAATACTACTGTGAAATAAAGGCAGTAATTCTCAGCCCTGACTGCACACCAGCATCACCTGTGGTTTGTTTTTGGTTTTGTTTTCAACTCACATTTCCTGGCCTCACCCTTCATACAGTCTCATTCAGTAAATCTGGGGCAGTGCTCCTGAAATTGGTGTGATCTGCTTGGAGGTAGAAATATTGTATCGCTTTTGTTTTTCCAGTTCCCCTCTAAAGACCGCACTTGTTTTATTTATTGCAAGAGGCCTAGGATCCCCTAGTCAAGAGTCTCACTTAACTGCAGTTTTCTAAGAATCCTAAAGGCTTAGAAGTTCCAAAAAACAGAGGAACCATGGTGAGATTAGGTGGGATTAGTCTGGCCTTCATTCCCAGAATGGGAGTGAATAATGATGAGCAGTCCACTGATAAATCTTCTGTGAACCTCACTTTCCTTATCTGTGAAATGGGAAGAAAACCAGCTCCTACCTCATAAGATAGTGGTGAGCACAGAGAACTAATAGCATGTAGTAAGCACTCAGGAAACAGTGGCTAATGTTATGGAGGCAGCAAGGCCTGTCTGGCAGTTAAGGATGTGGGCTCTGGAGCCAGACTGCCCAGTTCACAGCCTGCCGGCTACTCTCTTATAACCTCCGTGCCTCAATTTCCTTTTCTTTACAAAAGGGTGATAATAACTCCCTCACAGAGCTGTTACTAAAGGAATGAATAAG